TATAAATATAATAATATAATTAAAAATAACAAATAAACTTAAAACGCCATGAAATGTATAAAATAAAAAATAAAATAAATAAGTAAATAATATATTACAAATGAAATTCGTAACTTAATGAAATATTAATATAATACATAAAAATATACAACAACAAAAATATTAAAAATTAAATAAAAGTTTAAGTTATATACGTAAATCATAATATTTTTCTCTCACAAAAAATTCCAATTGTACACAATTTATGAATTAAAGAAATTTTATTATACAATTGATGCCATATTAAAGTAAAGCAGCAACAACTCTGTTTGCTTTGCAGCCATAAAGCAGGGGTAAATAAACAGGCAGCTGTTTTATAATTTGCCAAAATGTATTGCCAATATTTGGCTTGTGCGATATGAATATAAATGTATATATTATATATACGCAAATATCGCAATATAAGTATATGCATATATATGAATCTATATCAGTATTTTAGCGGTCTGTGGCCCTAGGCCAAGTTCATGTTCATTTGCATATTTGCAAATTGGCCGCTGTTCAAGGGCAAAAAGCCTAATTTTCTTTTGGCAAGACGACAACAAACGGCATAACTCACACATTTCATTCACATTTGTCACAATTTCTCATTATTTAGGCCTACGAGCGTCGCTTTCCCACATGTCCCCAAATGCCCATTGTGCTGGACTGTGAAATCATTAAGGACGAGTGCCTGGAGAATGGGGCCAAGCGGAACACGAGTCGCCGCTGCAAGCTGGCCGTCGATGCGCCGTACATCTTCAAGAAATTGATCGGTGTGGACTTTGTGTTCTTTCTGCAGCACAATTATTTGGACATGACAAATCGCACGCTCAGCATCGAGGCGGTCAACGAGAGCTTCTCGTCGCGCATCGAGATCTTTGAGCGTTGCCGCTACTATGCCCATCCCGATAACAGCGAATGGACGTGCTTTGATCAGACCGCCACGCTGGACATTAAGAACTTCTTTGGTTTCGAGCATTCCATGGAGAAGATGGGCATGAAACAGTATACGCAGACAACGCTGAAGGGCAAGGAGATCATTGAGTATTTCATTAATCAGCTGGAGCAGGAGGGCATTACGCATGTGGATCGCTGGGTGCCGCCACTGGATGCACCCAAATCACCGACCGCAGATCAGCATCATGACATTTTGCTTGACGGTGATTTTATTGCTCGCAATTTGGGCCAATTATCACCGATGCAGGAGTCCAAGCTGCTGGAGCTGAGAAAAATGCTCGATGGTGTCGATGATCTGGAGCGTATGCCCAGTTATCAGACCATCTTGCGTTTCTTGTCAGCACGCGACTGGCACGTTAGCCAGGCCTATGCCATGCTCTGTGATTCCTTGAAATGGCGTGCCGAGCATCGCATCGACGCTCTGCTGGAAGAGTATAGCAAGCCGGCTGTGGTCATTGAACATTTTCCCGGCGGTTGGCATCATCACGACAAGGACGGACGACCCATTTACATATTGCGTCTAGGTCACATGGATGTCAAGGGCTTGCTCAAGTCCCTGGGCATGGAGGGTCTGCTTCGTTTGGTCAGTTAGCTCAAACAAATGGTCCACATGATGTATGATGTTCATTCATTTACTATCATCTTGCAGGCACTGCACATCTGTGAGGAGGGCATACAGAAGATTAATGAATCGGCCGAGCGCTTGGATAAGCCTGTGCTCAACTGGTCGCTGCTGGTCGACTTGGAGGGCCTGTCTATGCGTCATCTCTGGCGTCCCGGCATCAAGGCCCTACTCTACATCACTGAAACCGTCGAGCGCAACTACCCGGAGACAATGGGACGTGTTCTGGTGGTGCGTGCACCGCGCGTCTTTCCCATTGCCTGGACAATTGTTAGCGCTTTCATAGGTGGGTTGGGGATGACGTTGAAGTTAAGCGAATATTTACTTATTTAAATATCTTTTTGATTTTTATAGATGAGCATACACGTTCCAAGTTCTTGTTCTATGGCCCCGACTGTGAGCACATGAAGGACGGCCTCGCTCAATATATTGATGAGGAAATTGTGCCCGATTTCCTAGGCGGTCCCTGCAAGGTAAATCTATTAATATTTAATTAAAATTATTTTAAAAATTGTGTGTAAAACTTCATAAACATAAAATGATTAATAATTATTTTTGTATATACATATGTATTTCTCTACATACATATATATATATCTATGATTTTTGTTTTTGTACAATTTTGTTTAACCGAAATTTCCTTTCCCCGTTTCGACGCTAAATAGACGCATTTAACGCATGTGGAACAAGTAAATAGAAAGTATATAACGCATTGTTATTTAGCTGATTGCGATTGTGTAAGCCGCTTCTCTAACTCTCCTAAACGCCAAGTCACATTATATTATAGTTTGTCGTATGTCGTCTATGTGCTAGTCAAGTCAATTCCGTTCACAATTGTTTCGCTGTCCGGACAATTTTTTTTTTTTTATTGTGCCCTTGTATTCCTTTACACACGCACACAGTTACACAATTTTGTACCTTGAAAATCAAGTGATACGAAGAAAACAAAAGCATTTCACACACACATTGTTTTATTAATTGTCCTATTCTCTTTTTGCATCAACTAGACAATGATACATGAGGGCGGCCTTGTGCCCAAGACACTGTACAAGATGAACTCGCTGGAGGATCATGATGATGAGACGCCTGTTGCTTCGCGTGCCGCCTCTGCCTGCATTGCGGAGCCTCCCAGTGAGAGTAAACGTTTGTCGGCTGCCCATCAGCACGATCACAAGAATCTCTATAAGACTGTGGAGCTTAAGCCGGGCTTCACACACGAACTGCTCATTCGCAACACGGATCCGAAGAGCGTGCTCACCTGGGACTTTGATGTGATGCGCAATGATTTGCACTTTACGCTCTATCGCGTCACCGAAGAGCTGCCCGATAAGCATGGTACTGAAATCAATTGAAGAAATTGCGAAGCCCAAACTAATAAAGCTCTTTGCTCATATATTAGATTCGGCTGTTTCCTACTTCGATCTGCAGGACTTTGTGGAGGGCGTCAACTATTTTAGGGAGGAGCCGACTCTCATCTGCCGGCACAAGGAGAGTGTGCAGGGCTCCCATGTGATGCATCACAATGATAGCTATCTGATGCACTGGTTCAGTCCGTCGGGTGCTCAGCTGAATGTATTCTACGAAGTGCTCAGTTCGGTCAACTACAAGGGCTCGATGACCAGCCTGCAGTCGGCCTTCTCATCGAACTCATCGGCGACCAGCTCCTGTCAGAGTCGATGATATGAACCCAACGGGCAGGCAACAACATCGTCGCCCGGCGCCCGAGGCGCAGATAAGGAGCAGGCGGAATTGGATATGCTGTCCGGCACCCTGATGGAGAAGAGCCTGAATTTGTTCGATACGCCCGATATATTTTTTTAAAGGCCTACGAAAATATTTGCAATCTCGTTTAGTTTAAATTCTAGCAAAATGTTTAGTTTGAGATTTTAATTGTAATTTTTCGTTTCAGTGTGGCACAATTTTTTTTCTATTGTTGCTTCTAATTTGATTGAATTATGTGTTTAGTAGTATTATGTCTATGAATCAATGATTATATTTATATACGTATATATACATATATATATTTTCAATAATGCTAAGCGAAAAATGAAATTTCTGAATCATGACTTTTACATAGATTTAGACGGTTGTATCAGAGAAATTCAGATATCACAGAATGTTCACATTTGTTCACATTTAAGAGCGTCAATTAGTCCATTTTAGCAACAATATTGTAGCAGCTTATACAACGTACATATATAACTAGAGAGACAAAGATGATAAACGTAATAATTGTAGTGCAGCAGATTTTTTTATGGCTTTTTATAAGAATATCAATGCAACATAACGAAATATTGCCCGAAACTTTGACGCTAGAACGAAAAAAATGAGATTTACAGATATCTAATCAATGACTACATGTTACCTAATTAGTTTAATTCGGATTCTAAAATGCAAAATACACAACAACAACAACAACAACAAATAATAATAATAATAATAATAATACACTAAAGTAAAACCAATTTTTAACCTCTTGCAATGAGTTCAAAACGCTGTTTTAAATCAAAAGCCCTCATTATAAGTACAATATCATTAAAATTCCGTTTAGAGTACGAAATTGATGCTGCAAAATAAAAAAAAAAATATTGAAAACTAGCATTAGAAACTTAAAGATAAGCGCATGAAATAATGATAATCAATACTAAATTAATATTATATTTAGAATTTTATTTAAATAGCCAAGCAAATGCCGCGCATGTTATCTAATTGTGTAAGTTGAAATAAAAATGCAAATACATATATATGCCAATCGAAATTCACATAATTATGTTTTAACTGAAAATATTTCAATGCTTAATATTCTTGGGTATAAATTTTCAAATTTTAAAAACCTCGCGGTATTTGCAGTTGCGTAGAATGCAGTGTGACCACATTACATTTCAGCTATGCAACACTGGTGCGCCACAACAGCTGTTACTTGAAAGCACTATTTTTAGTTCAAACCACTGACCAGAGAACAGTGTTCAAACTTAATACATTAGACGCCACTATGTACACAAAATCGGCTAATGCCAATCGTCACGACTACATTGTTTATTTATATATGTAAAGAGTTACTTAGCACAAGTTTGTTATCAGGTCGCTTATCAGCAACGGTTCAGTGGATAGCCCTACTCGACGTTAACTACTCTTCGTGGCCAACGGAAAGCAATTGGGTATTTGGCTTAATGATCGTAAATTCCAACAATAAACACAAAAAGAAAACAAAAGCGGATAAGCAGCCGCTAAAAACTATTCTAAATAGCGCAGTTTTATGAAATTTTAAATCAGTTAAAGCGTAACGCTGACCGTTAACACATCAAACGTTACCGAGCAGCAGAGAAACAGAGAAGCAGAGAGACATGGTTGCACCTAAGCTTACCAAGTGAGTACAAATAATTGCAGCTGTAAATCGTGCTCAGTTGTTGTTGGCTGCGCAATGGTCGGTGAACAAATTGTGGAAAGCGTTCCAGTAGCGCCCGCAAATAATTTAGGCGAAATAATCAAATCCCTGGTGGATTCTTACAGCGACAGGGACAATGTTGCGCCTGCCAATATATACGAGGACAAGAAGATCTTTCCCAGTTTTCGCAGTGGTCCACTCCAGGAGTATCGGGACAAGGCGAGCTTCTGCTATAAACGCTTGAATGTGCTGCTGGAGGGCGAAGACCACATTCGTCTAAAGGTACGTGAAATGCTACCACATATAAGAATTTATCATTTTTATTGCCATATATAAATGTAATATTGAATGAAATACACATAAAGTTGAGTTGGCGTGCAAAGTTCAATGTTCAATGTTGATTAAATCAGTTAAGTTGCAATAATGCAGTTTGAATTGATGTTTAGTAAAAACTGTTTACATACAGAGCTCTGTTAATGACATATCCCACTTGTAAAAGAAGTAGAAAACATTGTATTTACATTATCATTCTAATTGGAGCTATATTACACATTTTTAATGGCTTGTAGTGCAAAGTGCAATGTTAATTTTTGATTATTGATTTTTTTTTTTATTTATATATATTATATGGTTGAATGTTTTAGAAAATTAAGAGTCACATAATTGTTTAAATTTAATTAAAATAAAAATTAATTAGATTAATTTTTGAAATTACCAATTTTAAAAGTTCATATCGGAATCTGCAAAAATTTGGTGTAGTTTTAGTTTAGGGAAATTTGAAAATTCATTTAAAATTTTATTTGAATTTATATACCTTGCAAAATGTTTATAAATAATTTATATAATATCTTCATAACATATTTTTGTAATACCTTTAAAATCTTTATAGCTTTAAATATCTGTTAAAAGTATGTACTTTTTATATATTTTGTCAAATGTTTCCATTTTTAGGTAAAGTTCTTTAACAATTTTCTCTATAAACGAGTTCAGACTCGAACAATGGAATTACCGTAGACTTTGACCTTCACTTTGCAAAGTAAATAGAAATAAAAAATATATGCATTATCATATATATATATACATATATATACCAATACAAAAGCAATTTTATTATTTGCTAAATTACCTTATCTAAATTCTTATCTAAAAGGTATTCGATTGAACACTTGTGCAAAATGCTTGCGTGAGGTCAGACTAATCTTAGCTAATCTTCAATTATCTTTAAAAATAATAAAAATAGCACAAAATATGGCAATGGATGGAGAAACACCCAGACTTCCAACGTGAACCGGAAGCGCCCAATCTGGAGCGTACCAGGGAGTTGGCCAACAAGCGTCATCATTTGCTGTGGCAACAAAAGTTCTTCGATGTCAATGAGGTGAGAGCAGTTCAGAATTGAGTCATGGCTTCATTTAAAATATATTTTTAACTCTTTCCAGTACCTGAATACGCCATATTTGATGTTGGCCTTTGGCCAGGCCATATTCAGCTACGATTTTAGCTTCTCGGTCAAGTTCTCGCTCTCGAATGGAATGTTTCCCAGTACTCTGCTAACGAATGGCACCGGGCGTCTGGGCAAATATATAGCCAAGATATCAGATGATCGTATATTGGGCGCCTATGCGCTGACTGAGATCGCTCACGGCACAAATGCAAATGGTATTTGATTGTATTATACTGAAATAAGAGTATTTAATTATAATATGTTTTCTTTTCTCAATCTATAGGCATGCGCACACGCGCCACTTACGATGTCAAGTCGCAGGAGTTCATTATACACACGCCTGACTTTGAGGCAGCCAAGTGCTGGGTTGGCAATCTGGGCAAGACCTGCACCCATGCCATTGTGTATGCCCAGCTGTATGTGCCGGACGATAAACATCAGGGTTTGAATGCATTCCTGGTGCCCATTCGGGATGAGCTTACACTGTTGCCCCTGCCAGGCGTCACAGTTGGTGATCTTGGCGAGAAAATCGGACTGAATGGCATTGACAATGGGTGCGTGGAATGTGAATTCAAATAATTAAATTAAGTCAAAATATTTATTATATCTTACAGCTTTGTTATGTTCAATCAGTATCGCATACCGAAGGCCAATCTGCTGTCGAAAACGGGAGACATTGATGCGCAGGGCAATTATAACAGCCCCATCAAGGATCAACGTAAACGACTGGGCGCCTCGCTGGGCGCTCTGTCCACAGGTCGTGTTAATATTACAGCAATTACTTATGTGGCGCTTAGCAAGGCTGTGTGCATTGCTACACGTTACTCGGCAAGCCGTCGGCAATTCGGACCCCCCGATAGCAACGAGGAATGGCCAGTGATCGAGTATCAGTCGCAGCAATATCGACTCATGCCGCATCTGACAGCGGTAATTGCATTGCGTGTGGTCTCCCTTTGGATTGGCAAGAAGAACATGGACATGATGATGCGGGGCATGATGGGCGAGGACACGTCTAGGGAGGGCATGGAAATCCATGCTATCTCATCGGCCCTGAAGCCCTATGCCACCTGGGCGGCTCGCGACGGCATCCAGGAGTGTCGTGAAGCTTGCGGCGGGCATGGCTATTTGCGTGCATCCGGCCTGGGTGATCTGAGAAATGATAATGATGCCAATTGCACGTACGAGGGTGAGAATAATACGCTCATTCAGCAGGCCTCCAATTGGCTGATCAGCCTGCGTCGCAACAATGCCAACTTTGTGGAGGCTTCTCCATTGGAGACGGTCGCATTCTTGAAGGATATGAATGTGATATTGCAGACACGGGGGCAGGAGCAGAACGCCGGACAGGCTCTGGATGTGCACAGTAATTAATGAATTTGTTACATATTATGAATTTATATATTTACTCAATATATTTTAATATATTTGCAGATTTGCTGAAGGCGCTTAACTGGCTGACCGCTTGGTCACTGGACACAGCCGTCAAGCGCTTCGAGCAACTGCAGTCTGATGGCAAGGATGCCTTTGAGACACGCAACAATATTCAAGTGTTTGCCGCACAAAAGCTTTCCATTATCTATGCAGAGGTAGGTTTCTCTTTCCAGATTACCTTACGGCTTATCTTCTTAACGCACTTATCTTTTCTATATAGCGCACCTCTTACTATGTCTTCTACAAGTTTGTAACCAATCTGCCAGCCTCGCCCGAGCAGCAGGTGTTGTTGAAGGTTCTTTCCTTCTATGGTGCCAATTTGATTATCAAATATTCGTCACTGTTCTACCAAGGTGGCTATTTCCTCAATAGCTCACAGATTGAGCTCTATCAGCAGGGCATCCTTGGTCTACTCTCGGTGCTGAAAAATGAAGCTATTGCCCTGGTGGATGCAATTGCGCCCACAGATTTCATTTTGAACTCGCCATTGGGCATGAGCGATGGCAATGTAAGCAGTTATAAAATATTTCTCAGAAATATATATTTCACTTGTCATTTTTTTTTTTTTTTTTCATCTCCACTTCACAGGTCTATCACCACTTGCAACGTGCAATCGTTTCCACTCCAGGTGTCTATGAACGTCCTTATTGGTGGCGTGACGTTACCTATAAGACCTATCTAGAGCGCGCTAAGTTGTAAAAACCTAGATTGCATTTTTATCATTTTATTCTCTTAATAGTTTACTAAGTCTTAATTGAGTGCCTTTATTGTTATTAATTATTCCAAACGATCAGAAACTTGTACTTCAGAGCCTTTTACTGTAAAACTTATATAAAGCATATATAGATTATTATTCGTGCGTGATATAAATACAAATATGAATGTGCAATAGTGCTGATCATAGATCACACTTTTATATATCTAATTTTGTTAAGATCATAAAGTAATGAAATTTTTTTTTTGTTAATCTGATTTTTGTATTTTTAAAAATTGATTTATACAAATATAGTAAGTTTATGGTTATAAATAAGTCCTCCTTAATTTGATCTTGTTAATATTATGAAATTGTTCGCACTACCTAAGAATATATTGCAATAAAAATAACATATTGTTGTTATTATAATATTTGGTTCTTATTCGATTCAATTAATTGTAAACAAAAATAGCAATTTTTTTAAAAATATACAAAGTCTCCTCAAATTTTTTTTTGTTAATATCCAAAATCGTTCGAACCCGTGTTTGCAAAACTATTAATACATTCATCATCACTGTTGAACAACCCGATGACTGGGCTTCTTTACACTATTCTATTAAACGAGCATACGAGCATATGTATATTTGTGTGTAAGTATATGTACACGTATGCATGGAATACTAGCATAGTACATCGCCGCTTCTTTGGCATAATTAATGCTCTGCAGTGTCAATCAAATTACAAGAAAGAGAAAGAACAAGAATCGCTTAAATTTGTTGTTATTTTTCGTTCCTTTCGCCTTCGACTTGCTTCCCAATTTATGTAGGGGGAAAAATGGTGATTGACCTTCCATTCCAATTCGATTCCGCCATTCTTCTTGGAACGCAAGCATGTTATTGTGCATTGGAAGAGAGGAAAGAGAGACGCCATTCCCGCGGCTCAAATTCAGTTCTATTTACAAGTGCAAACGTGAACGTACCCGCGTCGTTTATTAATTAAGACTTAATGGTAGATTTGACAAATAACGATAACATTAATATGAAACTTATTAAAAAAATATGTGATAGTTTAGTGTTATAATATATACAAATAATACATACAAATAAACATAAATATAATTAATTATTTTATATAAATTATACATACAAATGTACATGGATATGCATTGGAAAGGTAAGCTTAGATATTAAGATTTTAATAATAATAATACATAAATTTATAATATACATGTATGTATATACAAACTTAGATATTCAAACTTATATTTTAATGCATTTATTTATGTGTCAATCCAATTATTGTGGAATGTTGGTCCTGTCTACTTTTTAATGCATGTATGCATACATACACACATACATATAAGCTTATCTACTGCACATGTACTTTTTACGGGAAGTCTGTTCAATTTCGACATACTTATACATATGTACATATCTACTATATTCTTCTGGAAGTCTGTTCAATTGTGAGTATATTCTTATATACATATGTACATACGGGTGATTGCAATTAAACAGACTTCCAGTTATTTAGCGTAATGCATTATTTATATGGAGAAGATATTTAAAACTTGTTTTGCTTATATATTTTCTATTTTATGCATTATTTCTTTTGTGCATTCGTTCTAATTATGCTAACTATAAAGCATTTTGTTGATATTTTTTTTGGTTAGGTATTTTAGCTTAAATACGATCACAGTCTGACAAACGGCTTTGTTGTTGTTGTTGTTGTTGCACAAATTACAAATATACAAACATTTTATGCTAAATACACACAAATTACAACATATAATTTACTAAGTGTCTTGAGCAGCCATTCAATTAGTTTTAGCACTGGGAAGGGGGGTCAGGGCATTCCCTTCTGTCCTGAACCGGCACCGGCACCGGCACCTGAACCGGAACCACTTTCGTATAGTTCCGGTGAGCTAGTGTGCGATTGCAATTGGGCCAATACATTGCCATCGCTCTCTGTCTGGATGAGCATGGGAATTTGCTGCGGCAGGTCGCTCGTGGCCCACAAATACAAGTCTAACGTCTTCTCGGTGCAGTCGGCTATGAAACGGACAAAGGGCCGTATGTCGCCCTCATTGGCCAGCTTAAGGAAATGATAGTACTGGCTGCGCTGCTGTTTGGGTATGATCACCGGCGGATAGCCGGCGCGCATGAGCAACGTGTTCATCAGCAGGCGCGAGGTGCGCCCGTTGCCGTCCACAAACGGATGGATGTGCACTAGTTTGTAGTGGGCCAGTGCAGCATAGCTGTGAGGGGGAATTGGAAAAGTTACTGTTAGAAGCTTATCAGGATTGATATCAGCCTCACTCACTTGACCGGATGCAGCGAGTTGCTCTGCTCCGAGTTAAGCCAATGTTCGAATCGCTGCATCAATATGGCCAAATCACCTGGACCGGGTGGTATATGACCACCCACATAGACCTGATTGCGACGAAATTCGCCGCCTTCGATGGGATCCACATGGCCCAGCACGCGTCGATGCAGCTCCAAGATGTCCTTCAGTGTGATATATAATCTGAAAGAGAAGATGATGCAGATGAAATGATTCATAAGCATTATTCCTGTCCATTTGCACGACTTACTTCTGCACCAGACTTGCATTGATATATTTCATGGCCAAGTCCATGCCCAGAATTTCGTTGTGCTCGTCAATTGATTTGCCATCGACAGCCATCCGGGTTTCCAGCACAGAGCGCGTCTGTGCCAATGTCATTGTGTTGCCTTCAATGCCAACTGAATGATATATGTGCTGGAAGTAAGCCTCCTTCTTGGCTCGTCTCAACGCAGAGTTTGCCTCGTGTATGGCCGACAGAGCATCCCGTTTCTCATCCAGCGAGCTGAGCCGACGCTCGTCCAGTAGCTGCACCACATCTGCCGTGCGCTGACGATTGGCCAGCGCTTCAGTATTGCTTGGATTGATGCTGAGCGCCTGGAAGTAATACTGATCTGCCAGCACAATATTCCGTTGATTATGTTCGAGAAATTCGCCGTAGCGTAGCAGCACTTCCGGATGCTTGGGAGCCAGGGCAAGGGCATGCTCAAAGAGACGCGCCGCCTTGTCATCCTTGCCCGTCATATACATCTCTTGGGCGAGACGCAGTGCACCCATTGCCTCTTTTATATTAGTCTCCTCCGCCTCCGACAAGCTAGCACCGACGCTATCACTTACGCTCTTATCGTAGAACTCCTTGAACGCATTCAGCTCATCCACCGAGTATACGGCGAATTCATCGCGCGTCTGCAAATAGTGAGCCGTTGGCAGATGATGCAGTCGCAGTCGCCAGCCCAGCAGCGAGCCCGACGACGATGTCAGCGCATGGAAGCCAAATGCTGCCAAGCAGCCGGCAATGAAGAACAGGGCAAAGCGATATGTTGATTGAAGCGTGGTCTGTTTCTGTTGCTGTTGCAGTTGCTGCTGCTGTTGTCCTTGTTCTGGTTGCTCCTCTTCCGTTGCTTTGCCTGTTGCCATTGCCTAAGGCAATAAAATATTAAAGATTATTTTTTGTAGGATTTCGTTATAGCGAATATGCCACGTTACTAACCATTGTTTCGCTGGCCTCGGTATTAGTTGTGGGCCCGTTTCTGTTTCACAGTAGTTTTATACACAGTGCCCAGCTGATACATTTTAAGCCTGTTCGTGGGCGTTTTGCAAACAAATCAACCACGTATTTCATAGATACCAGTCTGTATCCTAGCGATGACAGCGTGTGCGATATTTTGAACGTGTCGATAAAATGTCGACTGAGTACAGCAATGATATCGAAAAATTGAATATTCAAGCTTTACAACAATTTTTTAAATTCATAAATAATTTTAAAAAATGTGTTTGCTTAGCCAGGACAGTTCGAATTATTACACCTAGAAGTGAGTAATTTAAATGCATTTAAATAAAAAAAATAATTTTGTAATACAAAAAAATTTAATGTAAAATAAATAGTTTAGCATAATTTTTTTAATTATTTCTTTAACATCATTAATAATGAACATTTTTACAACTTTCTCATATATCAATATGCATACAATATTCCTATGATATATATTTATTTGTTGATTTTATGTTGTAAACTAATTATTTGCAGGCTCATCTCTAACGCGCAATTTATTTGCTTGTCCGGCCCTGGTTTTCGATTTGTGACGAGCACTCTACTTCAGCTACGTAACGCTAGATGGCGCTAACAGCTCTTAGATTAGTCAGAATTGAAAAATTGCGCGAAGATAAAACCGGATAGCCGAATCCAATTTGAATGCAAAGTCAAGTTTGAAATTTAACGTATTAAATTCTTAGAATTTACATATTGTATGACTAACTTATTAATTGATTGTCATACTTTTAATTTATTTATTTTACTTTTTATTTTTGCATTCAAATGCTGCAACAATTTTTTTTTTTTTTGCCAATTGTCATAAATTAATTTGATTTGATGATTTATGATTTTTGAAAATGTTTTGCGGCACAAGGCTATTAAGCATATCTCTTGTGGTTTTTCGAGTTAATTATTTTGTGGCTTCTAATTTAAAGAACTTGTTCTAAATTCAAATGAAATATCAATATCAAAGATGATATGAAATTTATACCTAAATGGGTTTTCCCTTGCGGTTTTATTTTCTACGCCAATTCAATTGACAAAAATTCAAAAAACAAAGTTTTTGTTAAACTTCTGCAAGGTCACTTAAAAATCTTTAAGCATATTTATGTAGAGCTTTTGTAGAATTTTTAAATTCAATATCCATATCAACTAGGATGTTATGTTTACACCTAATGGTTTTTTGAATGGTTCTTCCCTTGCGATTTTTTATTTATTTTTTGTTTTAGACAGTTCAATTGAAATGACAAACTTTTTATTCAACTTTTACAAGGTCACTAAAAATCTTTTCATTTGCATATATATATATGTATATACATATATAAGCAAGCATCTATTTTCTTCTTAATTGTTTTGAATCACTTTTAAACACCGCAATACTTGAGACACCCACTCAAACGACGCGCCTCCCTTGACATCCATCACGTAGAGCATCTAGTAGTATGTCGCTGTCGTGTAACAAATGTTCTCTGAGCAACCCAGGAGCTTATATGAGATCATTTACTCATATGCATTTGCAAGTAAATTTCATTTTATTTTCGATCTATTGTCATTGGGTGTAAACAAAATCAAATCGCACAGAGCTACCGGCTTGTGAGTCACAAATGAGCTCATTAGAAGTGCCCAATACAGGTTTCTGTCTTTGAACTATGACGTCCAAAATGATCTGAGTTTTATATTTAGTACATTTTCATATGTTTTGATTTGTTTTTTATTTTCTATTTTGATTTTTTACAAATATATAAAACTCATTCAATTGATAACAGTCAGACAGCTCTTTCAGAGCATCCCCGCTCTCACTCTCTCTCTCTCTCTCTCTCTTTGTCCGTGTCTC